TTTTATTTGAAACAGCCAGAAGTCTACGAAATTTAGTAAAATTTGCTGCTGAGTAAAGATGTAGAAGATGACCGAGAAATTTAAGGATCTTTTTTGATAACATCTTTTAGTAAAAAAGTCTGTTGCACAATTAAACCGTTTCGCAAACAGCAAAGACCTCAATGACAGACATCGAAACAAATTATCTTTACTGTTTCTTTCATACCCATCCATTTGGCACAGATATGTAAGGACAGTGTCAAGATCAGTGAACCATAGAATAATATGTTTATTGCATGACATGTCACAGTAAAACTAGTATGTACAATCAGAGTTTCGAAAAGCAAAACTCAGTTAGTTGTGTTTTATAACCTGAGCTTCATACGACAAATATCGAACTAAACGAAACGAAAAAAAGAAAGCAGTTGACGGAAAAACAAGCTTGCAACATTCCAGCGCAACTCTGTACAATTATGTTGGCCTCAGCGCTGACACCAGACATTACTCGGAATAGCTAGCTTCATAAGTAATTAAAATTAAGAGCACGAGTAACAACCAAATACCAAAATAAATTGAAATCTCAAAAAAGATTGATGACCTTAAGAGTCGAAAACAATTTGAGAAAAAACACAAACAGTGTCTTTGAACTGTTGTAAGCAAGTGCTTAAAATCGATCTGTCCGTAGAAATTTTAGGCTTTTACAAAGTAAACTAAAGCAATTTATAGCACGGACTGGAAACAGAAGCAAGCAGTGCTAATCTATCAAGGAACTAAACAATAGCCGTAACTTGGATGAATCAAGCAACTTACGCTTCTTGTCCTCCTCGGGAAAATGTCAAAACTAGACCACATTGTGCTGTGCTGAGTGGTCTAAAGCAAAATAAATCGTAAACAATTTTTCAAATAAAATCAAAAGCTAAAAAGCAGCGAAATACAATACTTGGGAGAACGAGACAACCTAAAATCTTATATATCTTATAAGAATTGACTGCAAGGCAGGCATGAAAAGACGTCAAAACAAACATACCTGTAAAATATAAAAGTCGGTTGCACCGCTACCAAACAAGAAGATGAAAACAAAAAGCGCCAGTCTCCAGCAAAGTTACGGACGAGATAAATTACAACGCCAATCACATATATTCAATTTTTCAAACAGTTGGTAGAAACATTTGTTTGCGACTTAAAAGTAAAAACACCTTTGACAATTTTTCAGTTACTGTTTAATAACTCATAATGTGGAGAACGCTAATCGGAAGGCAGATTTTCAAAGCTACAGTACTTTCAAAAAGCTCGTCTTCAAGCCCCGTGGCCTAAGACTGTTTCAAAAGCCAAAGTTCAAATTAGCGCTAGAACGATCATCACTGAACGTAATCGTTAATCAAGCATACTGAACAACGAGAGCTTTTGTCATAATAAAGTTTGGAAGAAAAAAAATACAAAAGGTTAAAAGAGTACTTCTGTAAGGGCTAAACTTATATTCCCTACAGTAATTCTTAATCTCAATTAACTTAAGTCTTAATTTAACCTTTCTTATTACTGTAATTTCCCCCTTTGGTAAGTTACTGCCGTAGCAAACTTATAATTGCTACGGTACTTAATTTAGTTAAACCAAATCTCCTTTAATCTCTATTATTACAAAAAATGTACTGTACTACTACTCTTATCTGGTATTCTCTTGCGCTCTCTTGTATCGGGCTTCCTTATTTCAGCTACTAACAACTTTAGTTACTTTAAAGTGTAAAGTAGAGGAAGACGAAGAAGAGGAAGACGTGGACTAAGCAACAGACCAATCCGAACAAGCTTGTAATAGAAATTGAGTTTCTATAAGGAATAAATTTTCTTTCAAAACTGCCCTGATCTGATGCTTCGCCAACACGTAGTCAGGATAATCCAATCAGTTTATAAGTTTCAATTAAGAAACCAGCTTTCGTACAACAGTCGCACAATAAACGGACGAATAACAACGATGATAAAAAACACAAAATCACAATCGTTTGTCTCCAAAATCGACACAATCCTTCCCAAGTTTTGAACTCTTTGTTTTTTCAACCTTTTGGAGTTTTGGCCTCCCAAAAGAAACTATTTCTTTGTTTTCCAAAAAAAGAACAAACAAAGAGTCCACCATTGCTATTGATTTGGCCATCGGCAGGGCTTTGTGTAACTGCACTGTTAATTATCAAACTTATGTTCTATTTTGTACAACTAATATTACAAATTCACTACTTTACCATACCGTTGTCAGTATCGATGAAGTCATCGACAATCTTAAAAACGAAAATGGTTGATTTAAAAAATTTTTTCAAATGGCACATACTTCATTCCTGATTTTCTGAATTAAAATTAGTTTTACCAGCGTTTATCAATAATTGCCCGCAAAAAAATCATGTAAATCATGTAAAATTGACCTGTCAACTCTAGTATCCTCTCTACCGCTGTAGCTAAAATTGTGCTGATTTAAATAGATATTATATTTCATAAAATTAAGATCCTGTCATGATATATCTATGTTTAGGTACTCTAGCTGTATTGCTCAGAAAAACCTTTTGGAAAAAATTGTAAAAAATGATATTTTTTTAACAGCAAAATTGTTAAATTTAACTGCATTTGATTAGGTTATCTTCTCATTATTCTTTTGGGATCCTTACAATAACAACGCGTTGCTCCAAAAAGAAAGATTCCTACACCAACATACATAATGCCCAAAAATGGATTCTTCCCTCCGATCCAAGTTGTTGTACTAATCACAAAATATTTTTTTCCGCCAAAGACAGAAACTTCGTAATCTGAAAATAATTGGTTTGGTTTCAATAAATGTAGTATAAACGTAAATATACAAAAAAAAGAAACTTACTATTTACAATTTCCAATTCATAATTCCCAGAAGGTAAACCATCAAAAAAAAATCCAGAAGTACGACTGAGCTTGCGATAAAGTTTTCGAAAACTAGGTAGTGCAGCGGTGCGCATCCAGACTATAAAATCCGTATTCAAAAACCCGTTATTATCAGGATGTTCTGGGTCCAACTCCCATATGTTCTTCTGCCAATTTGGCGGTTTCGCGGTATTCTGCAAAAAAAAAAAAGAAAAAAAATACCATACTATTCAAGTTCAAAAATTATTTAACCTTAAAAGCTTCTCGTAAATTTTCCCCAGGAGGATTTCTGAACTTGTATTTTTTATCGACTTCCCATGCGACACCTTCATAAGTCCAAGGCACAAGAATACGATCATTTCTGCCAGTAAAATAAAGCGTAAAGGTATCTAAAGATTATGAACCCTGTTTAACTGCAATGAAATCACTGGAAAAAACAACAGTAAAAAAACTCTTCAACTGTTAAAAGGTTTAAGCAGAATCACGCTATTCTAGCATCAAAAGAAAATTTCAACCGTTAAACATCGAATTTGCAATTGCTCCACAAGGTGCAATAACAACCTCTCCGTGAGAAGTATTCGTTCTATCATACGGCTCGCACTCAGAAACTTCCTAAAAACTTTCCACTCCTTCATTACGTCAAATCTAACAACCCACTCGGGTTAGGAAAATAGTATAAGCACCAGCATCTGCCAAGAACAATAACCAAAAACGAATAATAGTATTTAAACCTTGATAAATGTGAAAGAAACCATTACCTGTAGATTTCCAAGTAATTGTTTATCACTGCGGCTTTTAACGTAAAGACGATGATTTTGATAATACCTGTCCAATGCGTAATAGAAATATACATCACCCTTAATACCGCATCCATAATATAGTAGAAATAAATTTATTTCTTCATAAAAACTAAAGGCCTCATATAAAAAGCAACTCTTCTACTGAAATAACGTGGATTGTTTTGAATTAGAAACTTAAATCTTTCAAATTTTACAAAACCATGTATGAAAATCTTTACTCAAAAGAGTGCAAAATACAATCTCTCAAAGAAAAAAGGTATTCATATAGCACTTACGTGAAATGGTTCCTTTAGACTTATATTTATTCGACAAATGCCTGGTAGACTGCCGCAATCAGTATATTCCGTTATACTTTCTTTTACTAAAAAACCTTGAGTTAACAGCCATTCAGAAAGGCTTATGGCTCTTGCCATTTCCTTACTGTAAACTTGAACGACAGGATTATTTAAAATACAAACTAAATAAGTTTAAAAAATATCAAGAATTAGCAAAATAAAAAAAGTTTTTCTGCACTAACAAAGCATTTATTTGGTATACCTTTTAAATTAGAATTACCAGCATTTAGGAGTAAAAAATCTTTTCCCGTTCAGGGAAAATCAGGAGAACATAGAAGTGGAAGGTGCAGACGAAGAAAGCGAAAAAAAAGAGACCAAAAGTTTGCAGTTTTCACAATCTTTTCGGAAAAAATTAATTTACAGAACTCAGCTCCGTCTTTTAACTGCTTGTTTCTCGTGAATGCCCTTCTGGTTTTGTACAAAAAGCCTCTGTGATGTTAGGCTATTTGAGCTTATTTATTGTTCACTTATTTAAGTTGGCACTGAACAAAATAGATATTATTATAGATAGTAGATAAGCATTTTATTTTTGCCAATATCAAATTCCATCTTGGTGGGTTTCATTGAATTCTAATCATGGCAGCCAGTAGGTGTTCAAACACTACTTGCTGGAAAATTACATAATAATTCTGTTACATTTTTTTTTTCTGAAATACGCTAGCTATTCACTCGCCAACTACAAAATTTTCGGTGTAACATAATGAACAGTTACAGAAACTGATTTTGAAAAATTAACGGTTATAATCTGTCTCGCGCGCCAGAATACAGCTTTTTTTTCCCACTGGGAAGTGATAAAACATGAGTTTTACCCTCAGCGAGAAAAAAGAGATTCTAGAATGAGACTAAGAAGGCCAACCTAGCATAAAACCTTCGTAAACGGTGTTGTCATAATCAAGTTACCATATGTATACAGTAATATAGCAAACAATACCTTCATTACTAGCTTTCAATAAAACGACACCAATTGAAACAGAAATGATAGCAGCTACTAATGCAATACGAAAAACAGCAGTCACCGTCCATTTAGGTTGCCATGTCGGAAACTTCTGTTGATTAAAGCAGTTATCTAAATTTTATGTCAGAAAAAGATAAAAAAGTATATTTTAAAAAAAGGTGATTGCAAATGTTAGCCAGTAGTTCAGAAAACTAATTGAACGCCGGCATTTGAAAGCCAAATATGAGGCAACACTTCAATAACAATCGACAACTACACTACCGATAAGACAAACCATCTGACTGGACATTCACCTAGTATCACTGAAACTGATACTGTTCTGTAGTCCTTTTTCCAACTCTTTTAAAGAATAATCGTTTTTCAACATTTTCTCATCTACAACAGCATATAATAATGTCAAAAAAAAAAAAAATTTTTAAGTTTCACACTATGTTTTAAGAATTAACTATTAATTAGCTTCACTGAAAAGCCTGCTTATTACTTTAGCAGTTTCAAGAACGACAAAAAGAATTAAAATTATTAGTAACAGTGCAGTTAAAACTTAAAACAATAATACTTATAAAAACTGAACGTAGAATGAAGCAAACAAAAAAGAAAATTTAAGTCAAATAAGTTATAAACCATTATTTGAAAGAAATTTTTATCTACTTCCTTCTCTTCAAAACTTCCCATTCTTAGCTACAACAGCCCTACTTATCAGTATTAGACAGTTTCAGAGCTTTTTAGCAGCTCTTCTAGGTTAGAGTGAAGCGACATGTTCGTTACAGTAAGGTGATCCACGTTGGAACTGCTGCAAATGAAATTTTCAGAAATAAACTGACGCTCAGTTCTAACTGATGCATTAAATACAAACTGTCAAACTTGTAGATCTTTTTCAAAAAACTTAAATTCATAAGCAATGTGACGATAAATAATACAAAGCCGTAAAATAAAACTTCCTTCTCCCCCTCAGCCATGCCCAAAGAGAAACGAAAAACTATGATTGACGTGACGTTAAACTTCTAATCTATTCAAAAACCTCACACTATAATGCATACTGATGCAGATGGATGTCAAGAAGCGTCTAGAATTAAGCTTATTTGTGGATTGATGTAAAGCTTTCTGAGACGATCGGGTAAAAACTGCTGTTAAGTTACATTTTTACTTTCTAGCTTAGAAAAGTTGTACCAACTTTTTGGCCTATTACTCTTCTTGCCACGGTTCCTCTCTACGTCTGCGTCATCTTCTTCGTTTCGTTTTTTCCATCTGCACAACATGGCTCAATAAGCACCCAGTTAGACTTTAATCTAGAACGACTCTGTTCAACAACCACAGCCATGTAACTTTTCCGTACAGCATAAACTATTAAACTTGCGACTCGTTAGAAATTACAAAAAAAAATTAATTCCATTCCATTCATCAACGTTTACCAACAGTTATACATTTTTTTTTCAAATTTTTTCACTTTTAAATTTTATCATCTATACTGAATATTGCTGACCACAGAAATATTACTTAATGTAAATGATAATAAACAAAGAGTGGTAATCTACTGAAAGATAATGCAAAAAAGTACTGCTTTTTTATCAGTTAACTTCTAGCTTTCAGTAGACTAATTGCTGGAAAGAATGAAAATAAGTACAAAGAATGCATAACTGTTTTTATTCATATTTCATAATCTCTTTTTCTGCCAATAAAATATTATACAATTCAAAAACAGATTTTGTCTCATAGTGATACGTGAAAAACAGCTTCACATTCTTCCTTTAAAAAAAAAAATGCAACCAAGAATGGTCAGACTATGACTAAACGAAGTAAAAAAACTCACGGTGCAGCTTCAGAGGTCCTGCACTGAACCGTTTCAAATCAAAGTATGAGCTATACAAATGTTATTATCTATATAGGTTCTTTTTAACTGCGTTACAAATAGCAAAGTTAATGCACACAGAAATATACCACAAGGACAAAGTTTTTTTTTTTGAAACCCCTCTGAATCACTATGCCATAGTATCATGGTTAAGCCATGATGAAGGCACGTAGGTATTATGTGTATAGTACCTCCGGTTATCTAAAGCACTAAAAAAATTTTTTT